CCGAGCAATCGGCGTCCACTGTCCCTGAGGGTGTCACGACGCCCCGGGGTAGAGCTTCAAGACAAGATAGCAATGACGCCCGACTCTTTGAGCCAAAAAAATAGACAAAGGTACAGTCAAGCCCGCTTATAACGAACCTGAGCCTGACGCGGCTTCCGTTTGCTGTATCTCGAAGCTCATAGTAAATGAAACACAGCATTTAAAAACATTGGGAGTGAAAACACAAAATTTTTTCCTGTTCAGAAGCTTCAGGCTCGGCATCGGGCCCGACATCGATGAAGTTAGTTTCGCGCGCATGTAGCCGTCACCGCCGCCCACGAAATATTCATCTCCACAGCTGAATACCGAGACGCCCGAAGCGGCAAGTTGGCTGCCAGGTGGTAAACGGCTATCAGCAAGCCCTCGGCAACGCGGCACCTAATGCGCGGATTACGCCCAAGCCAAGCGGTCACACTTTCGACGTTTTGTTGAGCGGCAGGAAAAAGCATGCAAGGCCTCCCGTCTGCCATCCTGACCACACACGCACACCGAGAGCGAGCAAGACGCGCACACGCAACACACATGCCAGAATGGGTGGTACAGCTCCGGGCCCGTTTCTCGTCAGAAAACAAAACTTCTGAATTCGAGTCAGCGTCGCTGGCGTTGCGAAGTGGTGGGAAGTGATTTTTAAATGAAAAGAAGATAAAAGTGAGCCCCGTAACTGTCTCTCAGGGGGAGGACACCTCAACAGTAGCTCACGAAAGAGGGGGGTAAGGAGGGATTAAAAAAGATAGGAATTAAAGGTATAGAGATAGAGAGAGGAGCAGGAGGAGAGAGAGGCACAGGGACAGCCACATACAGAAAGGAGAAGATAGGAAAATGGAAACGGTTACAGAAGTCCGAAAACGGGCACCACTCAGCGAGAGCTCTTGTCGGCGTCAGGAGATGGCGTAGGACGAGCCAGTCGGCCAGAGCTGCGCTGTCATCAGAAATCGCAAGCTTACGAGTGGATTTCGGGGTCAGGGAGGAGTCAGGTCGTGTCAAGAGAGGAGAGTTTGCGAGAAAAGGGCAAGGAGTTGCGATAGAGCGAAGAGAGGGGAGGATACGGCGGGAAAGCGACCTTGAAAATCTAAACACACGGGATGAAGGTAGGTAATGCAGCTTGCTTGAAAGGTCCGCAAAACGCATAACTCGCACGTAGGGCAAAGCACGGTGCTCTGCTCCGGCTGGAAGCGACAGGGAAGCAAGTTGAACTTCCAAGCTGAGCAGGCGTGTCTTCGCGCGCTCCACCAGCTCGGCAGATTTCCCTTGATCACGCAGCGATATGGGTTCACCCCATCGAGGAAGAAGGGCAAGAAGAAGGCCCCGTCTTCAACCGCAAGCAGCTACCAGTCCGAGCTGCTGGACGACGATTCATGCTCCACAGTCTTCACGATAGAGAAGCTGCGTGGAGACTCGTATATGCCCACGACAGAGACTGACGAACTTCGCCGTCAGCGCCGCGAGCTCTGTATCCAGGACCTACTTGACATGGACCAGATGATGCAGGATCAGGAGAATAAGCGACAACAGCTGCTTCAAGAGCAACAGCCAGTGGCCTTCATCGGCAGGTGGACGGAGAAAAAGATGTACGAGGTTTTCCTGGAATTCGAACCTCCGACACCTGCCCCGAACACTGTGACAGCAGCCGCAACCACTCACGACCACATGGATGTTGCGGCCACCACAAGTTCTGCTGCCGATGAATCCGCTTCGTCCGCACTGCCTAGCAGCTAAGATGAGGACATGGACACATCGACTTCCACGCGGAAGCGAGCTTTGACGATGACGTGCGGGAGGGCCCGCGAAAGCAGGTTCAAGCCACCACCACACCGACGCGCACACCGGTGGGCCCTGGCTCCTCCCAGGAGAAATTGACGCCTCTCATTGGTTCATGCTCTCCACCAACTGTGGCACAGCGCATCTCCGATAGCGAGGAAGTCACTTCGGCAGCTGCTGTTCTCATTGTTGGCACGCCTGCCTGCGGAAAGAAGAAGCAAGGGAATCTGAACAAGTGCCGGCTGTCCCGAGATCACCGGTCTAGCTCGTCCGAGGCCCCACCAGCTCGGAGGCGGCGGAACACCTTGATTGCTATGCCGTGCCTTCGCCCGAGCCCTCCGCCTGCCGAGGAAGACTATCATCAGATGGTCATTTCGTAGGCAGCCCGGCGGCGAGCAAGGGCACTGGAGGCCGCAGCGATTGCAACAGATCCAGCAGTGGCGGGGACAGTACTCTTCTGTTTCTTCATCTCTGGCGGCTCGTTCACGGGATCGCTGTGCCTGATACTCACGGCGGCACTCGCTAAGTGGCCCGGTGTGATGGCGGTGCACGTTAACCACCGCTGAAACATCGTGGCTGCAGACGCCAGCGTGCATGCCTGAGCTCCTGTCCATCAAAGAGATTAGCGGCATTCTCGTCATTTCCAGGGAGCTTGTGGATCGTCGCAGCAGCATCGGCATCCTCCATGACATGCACGACGACCTCACCGACTCCGAGCTGTCTGCGGGACTCGGGTCGCCTGTTCTGGTCCTGGCTGCAAGCAAGGAGGGGCAGACGGGGAGGTGAGCAGCCAGCAGCCGACCACCGGACCGGGTCACTTTCTGCGGTCTGCAGCTGCGGGTGTGGCACGCCAGGCTGCGTTCCCAACATGGCTGGCAATGTGGGCACTTCGGAAATGTGTCCGAGGCATGCTCGCGTGCCGGCGCCTGCACCAGATGCGGCCGCCAACACTCGGGCGCCGATACTTGCCGTCCCCACTGCGCCAACTGCGGAGGGGGGCATCCAGCCGACATGCCGACCTGTCCTTGCTGGCAGGAGGAGCGGAAGGTGGCCACGCTGCTGGCCACGGCACCAATGCCGCGCTCGAGATCGGCGGTCAAGGCCGCAGAACGCGAAAAGTACCGAGAGGTTCGCTCCTATGCTGCTGCGATCAAGGCCAACCTTCCCGATAGCTCCACCAAAGATCCTGGCTTGCAGTGCCCAACTTCAGCGCCGCGCCACTCCTCCCTGCCACCGGTGAGTTCGTCCGCTATGAGCCCATCGCCTGCCCCACCTGCCGAGCCTGCCGAGGACCTGTGAGACGTCCTCATCGCCTTCCTGCTTGCTGCACTGCCCGCGGGCAGAGATGTGCTACCCGCGGACCACCCGTAGCGCGCTGTGTACCTTGCAGCACTCAGCGGACAGCCTGGAACTACTCAGCTCAACTAAGAGCCCTGCTGCTGGGGCAGGAATGCCCCGCTACCATTGAGACCCTCCACAAAACTCTCGCTCACTACCGGCTGCTGTTGTTGCTATGATGGTTGCCCCTTCCTACTGACTTACTGCTCCTATTCCTATCTTCCACTTTGTCCCTCTTTATTCCCCTTCCCCATCCCCCCTACAAGACGCTGCGCCGTGCTCCCTCAAGGGCTGCAGAAATTAGGCGTCTTTCCCTCATCCAACCACAACCACCACCACCACCACCACCACTCGCACGTAAAATTCACGTGCAAAGGTCTAAGCACGGCCGCCTAGATCGATGCGCTCGGTGGTGTTCGAAGAATCAGCGGCCGTGGTCAAAGAATCGTTTTGTTGTGCATGCGGGTTTGCATGGCCTCATTGATTTCGATGTTTCGTGATTCGACCTGGGCAAATTGACAGCCGTTTTTATGCTTCTGCACACGTGCGGATGGCATGCTGAGCTGAGTGCGAAGTGAGGGAGAACAGGTCCTAAACATCAGAAGAATCGCGAATTATCAGAGTGGGTGTGGTAGCTTTAGTCGTGCTTGTACTAGAAGAATACGAGAAGACAAGACGCAGGCGATGTTGGCGAATGGTCTGGTCACTCTAGGCCGGCGACGTCAACGACAGTACCAGCGATCAAAAACAGGAGAGATAGCTGACCGGTCTTCGAAAAATAGGTGGCAGTGTGGAAACACGGGTTGCGTATGGCGATGCGGGGTGCTCAGAGTTGTGAGGAAACAAAGGATGGAAGGGTGCGTAACAAAAAGTGGTTGGGGAGAGCCCGAGGCAGGGTCGGTAACACATTTATTCTATTACTTTTACAACGATGGTATCATCAGTCAAATTAATACATTAATTGCTATCAACACGCTAAAACAAACATACACAATATTCAATATTCCACAACACTCAACAACATAACAAACACAAGGCAGCGTTGCGAACGCTCGACTCGCCACGAGGCCTCACAAGGGACAACCCGCGGTGCCGTCCTCATGGGCCCACTGCGAGAGACGACAGTTCACTACAACCGCCACACGCCAAAAAGGAGCGCTCATTCATGTGCTGCCACCCAGGCTTGCCGCCAGGTGACACTGCCGAAACTACTGCGCTCATGGAGTTTTCTAAATTGACTAGAGGGGGCTCTGACACTGCGATCGTTCAGTGACCATGGGAATTATGGGTATGACATGGATTTGCCTAGTATTCATGCTTGCAGGTGGCAAATGCACTTGTGGCTTCATTTATTTTTGTGTTTTGGTTTTGGTTCGAATGAAAGAAGAAACCGTTTTCCACTTCATGACCCGATTTTAAGCGGTAAGTTTAAAAGATAAAGGGGGTGAAGCGTAACTGCCGAACATTTGCCGATTGTTGTTTCGTGACAAAGCAGCATCCAGGAGCCATGCAAAGCCAGGAGGAACATAATGTACGAAGACTAGGCAAATCCATCTGCTACCTATCATTCCCATGCTCGGTGAAGTGCCATGTGTTGCAGGTCCCATAGGCCATTTGGAGTGATGCTTTCTCTGAATTTTTTATGCAACTTTTATTATCTTTCCTGGCTAGCTGTTACCAATGGTAACAAAGTGGTTTGTCACTGATGAACTGTAAAAGGAATAGCATCAGAAAAAGCATCACTACAAAATTGAGTTTCTATAGTTTAAAGGGCTATGTTGTATTCAATATAAGTGATTTACATAGTATTTTGCCAGGGCAAACTGTTTAGTATGCTCACAGCTCTTTTCTTTTTTCATATTTAGACAGCAAGAGTTCTGCTGCAATTGAACTGACCATCTTGGAAGCACCATCTATTGATTCTTCTGATATACCAACTGTTCTCGTTCAACCACCATCATCAACACCATCAATAAGTGCTTCAAAAGACGAGCAAATATTAGAAGCTGTAAGTATTGTGTCTTGAATAGTACATAGCTTTAATGAATTTGCTTTATCGTCTAACAAAATATATGTTAAGTTGGAAGCGACAGTTTACAGAGCTCAGCTACCACATTTCTTTTTTAATTGGTCTATGCAGTTGTCGCTGGCACACACATACTTCAATGCTTAAATGTTTAAACTTCCCCCTTAGTATGGAATGTGGGATACTACTTGTGTGGCCTTCAATGTCATCATCTGTAATAATTCCTGCATGACTTAAGACATATAGCTTTCTTTTACATTGAACTAATTGGGGTGACACATAATGGTGTTGTGAGCACATGTATAGTACCTTGATAATATATTTGTCATGGCAGCAACCTTTGAGTTTTGTAAAAGCTATGTTAAGGGGGGTGCGGCAATGGGTACGGTCAATTTGGTCAAAATTTTCGAATTTTGCATTATTCTTTTTTCGCGATTCTCAGACCTTCTTCTACCTCGTGGTGAAATATTATAACAAAATATGCAATACTAATTGAGAAAACAGCACTTTATCTGTGTGTTATCATCGAAAACCACGAGAAAATCTGGCTTCGAAAGGTGCCGCTGCGCTGAAAATTCCATGGCTCTCGCACGGCGGAGCGCCGCCATCTTGGTGTCATTGTAAAGAGGAGAAATCGGAGCTGAAAATAGCCACAGCGCCGTATTTCTCCAACGAAAAATAAAACCAGCAAAAGCGAGCAAAAAAAGAGCAAAAGTAGCATAGTGTTTGGCTGCAATAGTTACGTGGGGGCACATGGCGCGCTCCTGTTGGTTGTATAAGTTTTGAATGGCTTTCGCGCGCATTTGCGCGGGAGTGAGCTGTGCGTTTTGTTCACTCCGGTCTTGATTGTCGCAACCAGGCGCGTGTGTTTTGCGATAAGCCCCAAAGGAGCAAAGTACCGAATGGCCCACGCGTACGGGAAACGGCGAAAGCCATCGAATAAAAGGAGAAAGCTTGACACAGAAGCGAATGCCGCTGACCTCGCCGAGCAGGAAACGCCGGAGCATGTGGGAGATTGCGAAAGCTCGCCCGTGTGTGACCGTGACAGTGCGTGCGTATACGCTGGTTACGACCTGACCGCGGGCCAGGCTCGACGCGTCCGCGTGTGGTGTTGTGTTCACGTGTCGAGTCGACGGGTCGCGTGCGGTGATGTGTCCACGTGCCGAGTTGAGGAGTCCGAGTGTGGCCTTGACGCGTCCACAAGCAGTGGAGACTGCGCTTCTGCGAGCAACAGAAACGTGACATTGGCAACCGCAGATGTTCGCGCATCGAGTATTAAACAGCGGATTTCGGCTCCAACTGTTACTGCTGAAGAGATTGCGTGACGAAAAGAAATGCGAGTGGACGCTTTGAATGCGTTATCTGATACCCCAGCCACGAAGAGGAAACTTCAACTAATTAATGATGGTGAAAGTGATGATAATGTTGTTCCTGGGGCATCATTTTTTGTTGCAAAGTGTGATGGACAAGGTGCTGTCCGAATTTCGCTGTCACCAGTGTGGGAGGGCCCCAGTTCATTTTCAAACTGGTCTATGCCTCGGGCTCGTAACAAAAATGGCAGTGGTATGCGACCACTGTGGGATAATAAGTAATGAGTGGTCATCCCCAAGATGTGCTGGTCCTCAGCAGATAAATCCATTTGAAATAAACGTTCGTGCAGTGAGAGCTGTGCAGTCTGTTGGCAAAAATCGAACTGCACTGAACGATATTTTTTCCCGCGTGGACATTTTGCGTAGAGGACTGCATCATAATTCATACAGTAGACTGCACTGCAAGCATAGTCACCCTGCCACTGCATCTGCAGCGACAGCAATGGAGGCAGCAAGCGCAGTGAAGGTGCGTCAGATATTTAGGAACCTTGGATGGGCCCCAGGGAACACTGACGTCATCTACGATGACACTTGGATGACAAAGGGCCACACAAGCCACATCGGTGTTGGCTGTGTCATCAAGTTATACTCTGGCCTTGTCTTGGACCACTGTGTGCTCTCCAACTACTGCCAAGGCTGTGCTCTTGGACCAAAGCCTCATGACAGTGAATACTTGGAGTGGTATGAAAAACTTGAACCACAGTGCCAAAAAAACACGGAGGCAAATGCAGGGCAGATGGAAACAATTGCAGCAAAGACCATGTTTCAGCGATCACTCCAAAAATATTAGCTCCGTTATACAAATATCCTTTGTAATGGCGATAGCCTCACGTATAGTGTCCTCAGTGAGGATAACGTGTATGGATTCACAGCCATACAAAAGCAAGAATGTGTGAACCATGTAAAAAAAAGAATGGGCACGACTTTGCACAACGTTGTTGAGAAAAACAAGAGCAAGGACCGAGAGCTCAGCATGGAAGAGGCCGCCTCACACATGGCTTAATTAAAAAGCTCAGCAACTATTATGAATGAGCCATCAAAAGTAACCCAAACAATGTGCCAGCCATGGAAAAGGCCATCATGGCTACTTTTTACCATGTTACATCCACTGATTATGAGCCTCGCCATGAGCACTGCCCTACTGGAGTGAACTCGTGGTGCAAGTTTCATGCTGTGGCAGCCTCAGGGGAACCAGCACCTGCACACAAGATGCAGCTTCCTGCACATGTTCGGGCAGCACTCCTACCTATATATGAGCGCCTTTCAGCAAGGAAACGTCTGGAAAGGTGCCAGGAAGGCAGCACTCAAAATGTCATTGAGTCTCTCAACAATGTTATTTGGTCGCTCCAATCCAAAACACTGTTTGCCTTTCTCCTAACTGTTGAGAGTTCTGTGGCAGATGCAGTTTGCCGTTTTAATGCTGGCTGTGGAAAAGCACTACAAGAGATCACACCACAACTTGGGTACACTCCAGGATCGTGCTCCCTGCGGCGCGCTGCTGAAAAGGACGCACAGCACATGAAAAAGGCGACCAAAGTGCATGAAACTGCTCCAAAGAAGCAAAAAACTGCATTAAAATCAAAACAAAATGCCTCTGTAGAGGCAAAGGACTACATCCCAGGCGGGTTTTAGGTGTTCAAAGTTAATATTTAACTCCTTTCATGAAATAAAACTTTGAGCTCCGTTTTCTCACCTTCCATTTTTTGTGCAGTTGCTGTCAGTCATCCCAGTGCTACTTCATAGCTAATGAAGATAAAATCATTCTGTTTTTAACACTTAGATCCTGAAACATTGGTGAGCACCGTAATGCTATTCATTTTTATCTGGCCGTCATAAAAGTTTTTGTAACTCTATTTTTGCAAAAGCTGTCGTTAAGAAAATATCTATAGGACATCTGAAAAATTTTTTCTGTGCTCGTGTGGACATAAAATAAACTAATAGCTTTACGGCACCCAGTGGGCCTTGCTGAATATGCTCAATCAAATATTTTGATGAACTTTTGTCTAATTCATTGATTAATTTTGGGATGACATTGAGACTATATCAAGTGCTGTAACTCAAAAACTACAAGAGACAGCTCAAAACTGATTTCAGTTATAATATCAGCATAACAAATCACATCGGTGTGCCAAGTTTCATCATTTTAGCCCCATAAATTAGAAAGATAGTTTTCATTGCCACGTTCCCCCTTAACTGAAGGTGTGCATGACAGTTGCATCTGTGAAATAAAGAAAATTTTCTACACATTAACAAAAGACAGAAATTAATAATTTATTTTTCTTTGCGCAGAGTGCTGCAATTGAGTGCACTCACTAGAAGTAACGATAAAGAGACAAAATCCAAGTTTTCATTAAAGTTATCTCAATTGGTTTTTGGTTTATAGCCCCGCCGCGGTGGTCTAGTGGCTAAGGTACTCGGCTGCTGACCCGCAGGTCGCGGGATCGAATCCCGGCTGCGGCGGCTGCATTTCAGATGGAGGCAAAAATGTTGTAGGCCCGTGTGCTCAGATTTGGGTGCACGTTAAAGAACCCCAGGTGGTCGAAATTTCCAGAGCCCTCCACTACGGTGTCTCTCATAATCATAGCGTGGTTTTGGGACGTTAAACCCCACAAATCAATCAATGGTTTTTGGTTTATAATAATTTAGAAGCTTTTTTCTTCTGAAAAGCCTGGTACAGATATGAAACATACATGGTAATTGGACCTCCTTATGTTTGCTCACGTAATGTTTGAACACAAAGGCGGAGTTATATTTTTTTCCTGCCTTAATTCTATGGCACTTGTACTATGCATGTGACCATATTTAATTTCATAATGGTGCATTGTAATTGTTAAATTATAAATCAATGCAGATGCAAAAAAAATTTTGGAGATCATTCTAAAAAGGAGGACTGTCTATTGATGCCAACAGAACAAATGGGAATAAGATCAGTCCAGCCGTCGTTGTGCTATGCTTTCCACAATTGAGTTAGTGGGCACCAAAAACACTTTTGAGAAAATGGGTCACAACATTTGAATGCAGTTTAATTACTTAATTTCATTGAATCTTAATACTTGGTGTCCTAATTAGAAGGTGACCTTTTGAACCTTTGCTTTTGATTTGTCAAAGGTTATGGGGTTCAGGAGCCTTTATTATTTGCCACAGTTGCTTTTCTGCAACTCTGTGGGAGTGCAAAAATACCAGTATTTTTTTTTTTTTCATCGTAGGATATGCTCAATAGTTGCGCCACTTTCGTGGCAGCAAAATGTGTTGCCATATAGACTAAATATATTTGTATTCGCATAACTGCAACATGCCACAAAACTGAATCCTTGTCTGGCGGTTCAGGGCTGTTTCCATGCGTTTCCAGGTTTTTAAAGAAATATACTGCAGGTTAAGTTTTTTACTTTCTTTGCTCAGGGGTGGGAGTTCTGAGCCATTTGCACCATTTCACACCAATATGACCTGCAGTGCCAAGCTGCGCCTAAACGGGAATTTGCGTGTGCAATGCCAAATTAAGTCTGATTTCATCATTGACCGAGCAACACGGGTGGGCTACACAGAGGACGTACCCGCGTTCATGTCAGATTAGTTCGGTCACATCGTATTTCGGTTCATGCATAAATTTTGTTA